CGGTAAATTATCCATGACGACATTTTCATCATCACCAGAGTCTTCATCAGTGACATAGTCATTGGCGTTGATTGGCGGAAAAAGTACAACTGCGTCTGGAAATCTATTTTCATCATCAATATTTTTCCCATAACTGAAAAACAGTACATTATACCACTGACCTTTTAAAAGGACACACACTTTTATAAGCTTATTTCAAAACCCACGACCAGCATAACCTTTTTTTTATATTTATATCCTAAAGTTAGGCTTTCACTAATAAGTTTTTACTTGGCTAGTCAATTAAATTTTATGAAATAATGATTGATATCTTACCTTAGATTACTCATAGCCTCACAAAATAAAATACTGGAAATGTAAACACCACTAATTCTGAACGAAAACAAATAAACGTCTACTACACGTGCTGCAAACATGTGCTAAATATTTGACAAACCAGAATTCGTGGCGCCATCTAAACCTTAGACGTAAAAGCAGTAAATAATTACAGGTTTTTGAAGCGACCTTTTTAAAGGACGGTGGCCGTATCTGGGTTAAGGTCGTGGAATACTAATAAACTTGTGTTTGATTGATATTCAATATATTGTGTAATATTGGTTTAAATGAATAAAAAGAATAAATGTATTAACTTGTATAAACTATTACAAACGTCAAATCTAACTATCTGGTTACATCAGTGCTACCTACATTACTTAAATAAAATGTTTCAAACTAGAATCGGTAAGGTTTGTTCCAACATCCTTTCTGTGTGTTCCGTCATAATAAAAATTAAGGAAAAATAAATTACGGGCGATCTGACTTCGGGAAGTGGGAGGGGGGGTTTTAAGGGTAAAAAATGGTTTATCTCGATTTCCGGCAAAACTACAAGTCCTATGGAAAAAAGTTAAATGGCAAAGTTGTAGGTAATAAAAGGATCTACAACTTTTGTAATTACAATTTTTTAACATAACCTCTAAATTTATGTGAAAATTCAAAAAACCAAGTTTTTTGTTTTTTATTTTTATCTTTTTCAAAAAAATTTTTTTCCACGAAATTTGGCGAAAACGTACCTTTTTATGTCCCAAATACACTGTAATTTATTTGATTTGAAATATTTATTATTTCGCCTTATTTTGACTTAATATCAAAAAAGCACCCTAATTTTCAATCGAAAATTCTCGCGTCAAAATATCAGCTTTTTTCAAAATGTCGGTGTGCTTTTTGTTTGTTGAAATCTCTACTTTCTGGTGGTGTAAAAAAATATACATTACTATGGTAAATGTTCTCAGAAAATGCAAAAAATATTATAATGAATAACGAAAAAAACTCGAATTCGAAAATTTATTTTAATCATTATGTACAATTTCATCAAAAAAATGTGATTGTTGCAATTTTTTTAGTTAAAAAGTTTATTTATTAAATTCTAATAACATTTATGTCAGAAAATCTCATAAAATATAAAAATACATGTAAATCATACTATTGAATTTAGATACTTCATTCTGATTACGTTATTCATTATAATATTTTTTGTATTTTCTGAGAACATTTACCATAGTAATGTATATATTTTTTTACACCATCAGAAAGTAGAGAGTTCATCGAACAAAAAGCACACCGACTTTTTGAAAAGAGCTGATATTTTGACGCGAGAATTTAGGGTGCTTTTTTGATATTAAGTCAAAATAAGGCGAAATAATAAATATTTCAAAGCAAATAAATACAGTGTATTTGGGACATAAAAAGGTAATTTTTCACCAAATTTCATGGAAAAATTTTTTTTTTTTTGAAAAAGATAAAAATAAAACACCAAAAACTTGTAAATACAAAAGTTGTAGATCTTTTTATTACCTACAACTTTGACATTTAACTTTTTCCATAGGAATTGTAGTTTTGCTGGAAATCGAGATAAACCATTTTTTACCCTTAAACCCCCCCTCCCACTTCCCGAACTCCCGTAATTTATTTTTCCTTTAATTTTTGCCGGAAATCGAGATAAACCATTTTTTACCCTTAAACCCCCCCTCCCACTTCCCGAACTCCCGTAATTTATTTTTCCTTTAATTTTTATTATATACCCCTCCTTTTCCAATGGGTTTCATCCTACTGTTATTTTTTTCTCTTTTTACCATTTTTAAAGGCTTCTGCACTGGTCTATAGTTGAAGATAGTTGGGATTATTATACATAAAAATGTTAAATTAGAAATAAACAATCGGTATACAAATTAATAAATAAAATAACATAAAATAAAATACCTATAGTAAAAGTATTTTTGTTATCGAATATTGTTTTAATTTGACAAATAACTATAATAAAATATTTTGGATTGTGTTTTTTACTTCGTATTTAATACTAATTACTAATTAGGTACCTAAGTATAGGTATATACCTTTATACGTAGTTTATGGTTTATTTTACTATTATATCTATATACCTATAGGTAACTGAACTAAATATGCTTAACAGGAATATTCCTAAATTAACTTTCTATAGCAATTACTTTCTTACCATTCTAAGCATATGTTTAGAGTAGACTAATTTTTACCACTAAAACTTTGCACCTTCCAAGAACCTGCCTATAGGCCAGTGAGAATATTCTTAGGATTATGCTATATTTTTTTTAAGCATGTTATTTAGAAATATAGCATGATCCTAAGAATATTCCCACTGAAAGGTTTAAAAAACATTCTTAGAATAAAGTGTGCTATCAGGGTATACTATTGACCTATAGGATATATCCATATTTTATTTTGATTTTAGGGCAAATATCTTGGTCCAATAATATTTTGCTTTATTCAAAAGCTTTTGATCTTCACTGAAACTACCAGAGTTGTTAGTATTTAAGCTTAAATTCCCCTCACTACATAAACCTTTTGATTTTAATTATTGAAACATGCTTTTAACAATTAAAATCAAGGAACTTGGTAGTGAGGGGAGTTCAAGCCTAAATATTGGCATTGTTGAAAACTAGAAAATTGACTGAAATAAAGGTTTAGAAAAAAATATTTAAATAAAATAAGACATTTATTGTTTGATACCAACAAAAGCGCAAGTGTTTTATACTAACACTAATAAAGTAACATAAATATGATATAACATAAAAATTTTATTACATATTTTAATTAATACCGTACATTCTAAAACATTAAAGAAATAAATAAAATTTCATTAATTTAAAAAGGGTTTTAATGATGCCAACTCCACTGTGAAAGTACATACAACACGCCATAACACAACCAGCAAAATGTATATTAGAAATACCTGTAATAGAATTATAACATTATATCACTGCCCCTATAAAATGGCGAATTGCAAGTAGCAATGATACAAAACGTACTAAACACGTGTGCCGCAAACGGTGTGCGCGTTTTGCATCCCCTCCCATGTATCAGAAGCTACCAGATTTTGTTGTAAAATTGACATGCTATTGGGATAATTGTGATGTATCTTGAATGAATTGCGTAAATATAAATAATTTTCATAGCTTTTGAAGAAAAACACTTTGCACTTGGTTGAAAGAAGAAACATTCAAGAGATTTTGTATTTATTTTCAAGAGTATAGTAAACTATACTTCTTCCACTAAGAACTTTTTTTTTAAGCAATAAATACCCTTTTTTGCTAAAATATTGACCAAGGGCAACTTTTTAATCAGTGTAATAAATTTGATAAACGTAAATATGAAAAAAATCGGTTTTTTGCATATAGAGAGTTTTGAAAAGAAAAAGGTAAACACAGTAAAGTAATTTATTCAACAACTTGTAACATTAAAAAGATTTTTGGAACACAAACAAAAATTAGTATGCAAACAAAAAAACTTAAATTATTTCAGTGTAGTTTACGTTTTGACACACGTCTTGATCATCTTCACTTTTAGCAGCTTGATCTGGAATAATTTTGTAAAAGGCTAATGTTTAACCAGTAATACAATATTGTGATTTCTTGGTTGCCTATTATATTGCTTTACAATGCGTTGTAGCTAGGGTTGGGAAAATATCACTTTTTGCTTGTACTTGAAATTTCACTTGAAATTTTCATGACATTTATGAAATTTATTAAAATTTCTGAAATTTATTGAAACTTTCAAGTTATATATATATATATTATAAACCCTCGGGGACCATGGCAAATTGCCTCTCTTACCTCCTACCCCTCTGTGGGCTCCTGACCACCAATAATATAAATAGTAAATACCTATGTTTACCACAAATTTCTTCAGATTTCTTTTTAAAATATTTTTAAAATTACTAAGAGAGATATAGCACTTTTTGGTAAGCTAACGAGATTGTGCCACTTTCATTGTTTTATATTTATATATATTTAATAGTTTGATCTATTTTACTGAAATTTTACGAAAATTGAAGAAACTTCGTCAAAATTTTATGAGCCAAAGGCATTTTTCATCCATTTTCCGATGCAATTATAGCAAAAGTAAAAGTTTAAATTAATCATGACTTTTAAAAAAAAATTATATCTGATTTAATTTACAAATTAAATTATTTTAATTAATCTAGGCATATAAGTAACAATAATTACTTATAGTGTATTCAAATCAAAGACAAACTAAACAAAAACGCCCAGACGCTTGATAACTCGTTCTTATTGGTCGATTCGGAATCTGTTGTAAATTATTATTAAAGGTCCCAGGGGAGGCCGCATGTGAAATTTATGCGAAATTTTCAGTAAATTGCGAAACTTTTAATGAAACTTCTGAAAGTTTCACAGGCAATGTTGAAATTTTCAGATTGAAATTTTCATTTGAAATTTTTAAAAATTTCACTTTTCCAACTAAATGAAATATTTCAAGTTTAAAACTTTCAAAGTTGAAATTTTCATTTGAAAATTTCAACTGTCCCAACCCTAGTTGTAGCCATAGAAATAATATTATTATAGTATTATTTCTATGGTTGTAATCATTTGTAGAATATTTTTCTATAATTCTAAATGCTAAAACAACCTAAATCCCACTTATATAACTAATTTCTTTATTTATTTCTTAAAAGTAGCAAAAAAATCAACAACTACATAAAATAATATTTATTAAATCATTTTAAACCTAAATAACAAAAATGTAATTCTTAATCTAAGGTGAAACATTTTACAAATCAGGTACCAATTAATATATGGTGTGAGTGTGATGGTAATAATGACCTTAAAACTAATTAATTAATGCTGTTTGGTGTATATAACTAATAAGCTAACTTCTTTCAGTTAGTTTAAACTTGAGAGGCTGCTCGGGAACGTAAGTCGGAGTTATTTTGTAGGTTAGGGGCCCGTATTTATATTCAACTTTGTATTTCCTAAAAATCTAAAAGGAAAACGGTTTTATTTATGATATATACGATGTTTTTTCTACAAACACCATTAAAAGTATAAATCAACGCGTTTCCTGCGTTATTAAATGCGTAAAAAATCATACTTTTACTGACGTTTGTGGAAAAAAGTATTGTATGGTTTACTTTTGCTAGCATAATATTTAATTCTGTCTCTGCAAATCTTCTCCCTAAACAAGATCTCCTACCGTAACCAAAAGGTAGGGATACAAAAGGATGTATTTTTTTGCCATGGACTGGACAACCTGTTGCACAGGATTTCAGCCATCTTTCAGGCATAAATTTGCTCGGTTCAGTGATGTAATCCTCGGTATTACTTACAACCAAATGAGGGAAAATTACGTGAGTCTGAAAATAAATATATATTATGCCTATTTTTATCACAACGTTTTACGTACGCCTTTTGGTACTTTGTAACCTGCTAGGATTGTATCTGATTGGAGGTTTCGGCCGTTTCCTATGATAACTGGGTACATTCTGAAACAAATGAAAATTATTTTTGTGAACGGTGCATTTTTTTAACCACCTTAAAGTCTCTTTTATGCAAGCTTTTAGATATGGTATATTCTCTTGCACTTTTTGGTCTACTTTGGAATCTTTCGTTGGCAAGACTTGTTCTAGTTCCCTAAATAACCTTTCTTGTTGTTCAGGGTTTTGCGATAGTTGGTATATCGTGGATGCCAAAGCTATAGAGGTCTAAAAATTAATATTTAAAATGTTATCTTTATTTACAAATGTATTTGTCTGTACAGTATCTACTCCAACCAATAATAAATCTAGAGCAAGTACTGCAGCTAACTTTGGATTTCCAGTTTTTCTCAAAATTCTCTCCACTATTGAAATATCTTCCTCTTTAATGTTGTCATAGTTTTTGTTTTCCATTTTTTCCATATTTTGCGTAATATATTTAAGACACATGCTAAAAAAGATACATAACTATTATAGCTCTTGATTCGTGATACTTTTGTATTTTTGTATTGAGATAATAAAATAAGTTTCACATTTAGTATTATTTTATTTTATTATTTGTAACGATTGTATGACATTTGGCAACTGTCAACTAACTTAAAATTAACTTCAGTCTGTGACTAAAACGTCATAAAGCCACAACTTGTCAATGCGTATTTAAAAGGTCACTCAGTGTTATGGAAACATGTACGATAATTTTTTATGGGTGGGAGTAGAAAAAAATGCATAATATAATCGAGCAAATTATGTAAAATAATATAAAATAAACAAATTATAATTTTAAACGATTAAATAATAATTACTTAATAAAACATAACGTCAAAGAATTATATAATTTTTATATTGACTTACATATTAAACTGTTTTTTATTCAGGAATTATTTTTATGTGTTAACACTAGACACGGTAGGTTGAAAATACGTTTAACCCAAAAGTGCGAACCCTAGAATTTTTTTTATTTTATGTTTCTAGGAGGTGAACTGATCATTTTGAGCCCAAAATTTCAAAGGTTGTAGGTCATCCCTTCAAGGAATATTTTTTTTGTTCCTTTTAGTATACCTATTTTATTTTGGTGAAAAATATTTATTTATTAACATCCCAAATTATAATATTGCCCAATAAATTATTATTTTCTATAGCAAAAATAATTTATCAGGGTATAATACCCTGGGTATTTCACAAAATTAATTTTAAGTAAAAATATAAAAGTTGATATTTTGTATTATTAATTTTAAACTTGTTTTTAATGAACTTTATAAAGTATACTTAAATATGGGTGATTCTACCAAAGTTGGACAACTTGATGTCATCAGTCAATAGAGTAGGTATTTTAATATTTTTTGTAAATATTTTAGTATATTACAAAAGATCCAGGTTTTTTTAACTTGTCCACCCAATTTTAATGTATTTTTTCAAAAGCATAATAAATATTCAAAACATCAGTACCATGTCGTGTCCCAACTCCTGAATGAAATATTTGAGTGGTTTTATTTTAAAATATATTCAATTTATTTTAAATTTTTCAATTTTACTACAAACTATAAAACATTAAATAATGTAGTTAATTTTAATTTAATTTAAAATATGAAGTATATATACTTCATATTTTATCATAGTGTTGGTAAAAAATTACCTACAGAGCCCGCCCTTCGCACGACAGTTATCTTGAAAACAATGCAAGCGGCGAAGTTGTGGTGAATGCACGTATAGTTCCAGTCAAAATTTCAGTACTGTGGTGAGTAGTTTTTCTTACGTATATATATTTCATTGTAATTTATATAAGGCTATATTTGATTTGTTGATAAGTAGCATCCACCAATAAAAAATATCAGTAAAATACTTAATTCCGAATTATAATCTCAAATTTGTATCCCATTCATCAGTACCGTGTCGTCAGTTCCATGTTCGATGTTTCGGTTATCTTTTTTTCCCAAACTTCAATTTAAATTCTGCTTGCGCAGAACTTGTTTATTTAATGCTCAAAGTTGCAATAAATCTTATATTTTCCAATAAATTATTTATTTAATTAGTACCCTGGTATACTCGTCACTTCCCTTGCATTCAAATTTAGAAAACACAGATATTTCAGAAACTGTTTGAAAAAGTGACTGGCCCGGTCTGGAACAGTATATTTATTATATTATATATGTTTTCATAACAAAATACTGTTTAATTTTCTCCGAAAACTATATAAACAAAATGAGGTCAAAAGTTGCCCCACTTTTGTAGAATCACCCATATATTTAAATTTTACTAAAAGTTGTCTTAGCTTAAGTAAAACTAATCGCATTAGCTAACCTGGCAAAAAAAAACATAACGTTTAATTTAAACTTAACTTAAGGGAAAACTAAATAATGAAGACTGCAGCATATAACTTTTGGCAGCCTTTTATCTTGTGGGTCATATCCTGGCCAAAGAGTATTTATATATTTTTTTCTTAAACATGCTTTTGGTCTTGCATAAACTTATTAAACAAATTCTTGAACGATTTTCTTCGTGTGTTTTTGTTTTCCAAGGCATTTTAGAAAAAAATACTAAAAACTTAAACAACTTAAATTTTTCTAAATAATTGTTTGGTTGCCATGTCAAAAAAGTTACCTAAATGTTAAATTGGACATGGCCGACTAAATCTTAGATTATTTATGTTTAGTTTACCAAAGTTTTATTAAGTTTTAATTAGTTTTAATATTTAAGGTAAATTCATTTTTGCAAGTTAAAAAAAATATATTGCGAACAAAAATTATTAACATCCATATTTTTTTCTTGAATCTACTTTTAAAGAGTACGACCCTGATAAATTTACTTTTTTATAAAAAACAATTAATTTTTTTAAATTATTATGATTTTAGCTGCATATAATAAATTATTATGCTTCACCACAATAAAATATACTACAGACCCCTGTAGGGTATTTTTTTAAATCAAATTTCCTCTTATCCCCATAGGGATGACCTATTATAATTTTGGGCTTAATTCGCTGTATAAAAAATCTTACATGATATTTTTTATCTAATTGAAAATATAACTTTAGTGTTAACACATTATAATAAAAAATAAAACGGCGCCTCATATTTTGATATTTATTATTTATAGTAAAAAAATGGATTTTTTTAGTACAATGGTAAAAAGTACATTTTCATTATTTAAAACAGCATGGTTGGTACACCCTTAAGGGGTGTTTTTTTTGTTATAATTTAGCCATAATAATATGTATCAAGTTTAAATATGCGTTCAAATTTTTTCTTCACAGTTGTTTGTTTTGGTTCTTTTCCTGTTTAATTTTTGGGGCGTGCGAAAGTGGAATAGGAAAGTAGACTGCGGCACACTTAAAGAAGACTTTCGATTTCGTTCGTGAAAGTTGACATTGACATTGTAGGTATTACGAAGATAAATATTAAGTAATGTAATGAGTTGGCGATGCAAGGTGAATGCCTTGCGCATTATTTAACCGCAAGTCTGTTAAAATCGTATTTTTATTAGGTTACCTTTTTGATTTGTTACAGTCGTGGTAAAAACTTCTCAACAATGAAGTTCGAGTTATATAACATTTAATCATTAAACAAATTTACGCAAATTGTTTAATGTTAATATTGTTTGGCAATTCGTTTTAGAATAAGGTCACAATAATAATAATTTAGTAAGGAAGTCGTTTTTATTGCAGATAATGCAACGTTTTTTTGTTTTTAAGTTAGAGGATCTTAAAACTGCCAAATAAAATAAAAACAATTGACAGGTGTCAAAATTACAGATGTCAAATTAAAACAAACAGATATTTTGATATTTTGAATTAGGTGCCCTTGTCATTTTGACAACTGTCGTTTAGACACCTGGCATTTTGACACGTCTTTTAACAAGTCATTTTGACAACTATGATTTTAACAGCTGTCTTTTGACTTTTTTCATTTTAACAACTGTCATTCGATAATTCTGACAATTGTAATTTTGACACCTGTCATTTCATTTTGACATTTTGATACCGGTCATTTTGACACCCGCATTGTTATTAATGTTTTTATTATTAATTTTAAATGATTCGTTTAATATAATTAAATTTAAATAAAACATAAGGTTCTAAAATCCTCTATTAATTTATGCGTTCGCATTGTAATAATAGCGAGTGCCATGAAATCTTTTTTATTTTGACAAATGTTGTTTCATCACTTGTCATTTTGACACACGTCATTTTATCAAACGTTACTTTGACACCCGTGATTTTGATATTTGTATTTTTGACTTTGTCAATTTAACACCTGTCATTCGACACCTGTCATTTTGACATTTGTCATTTTGAAACCTGTAATTTTGGCAATTTGAGACCCATTTGACACCTGTCGATTGGCACTTTATTTAGACACGTCATTTTGAAATACGTCAAAATGACATACGTCAAAATGACATACGTCAAAATGACATACGTCAAAATGACATACGTCAAAATGGCATACGTCAAAATGACATACATTATGACAAACGTCATTATGGCATACGTCATTTTGACATGCGTCATTTTAACAATGTCATTCTGACACCCGAATTTATTGCTATAATATATTGTTATTTTTCAATTATGATTCGTTCAATTAAATTAAATTTAAATAAAACTTTACGTTCTGAAATCCTCCAAAGCTCCAATGTATTTTCTGAAAGACTTATTCTTGTAAACCCTCCAAACTGGCATTTTCAATTCGACTTCGGCTACATTCCAAAAGAACGTGTTTATGGAATCAATTATTCTTTGCGATTCAGAGTTGCTGTCCAAATTGGGTTCCAAGCAACCCAGTCTTGTGTTTAGGGAAACTCTGGCTACAGCTAAAAAACAATCAGCATTTTTAAATACTTGGTATTACCTGAATTACAGCAATTTTTATGTTATGTGATATATGGAGCCTAAATGAACTGATGGGATGGAAGAAGCAGGCATCCTAACTTACATTCCAAGGCCCATTTGTATATTTCAGACAAGAAATTTTCAGGCAATTCTCTTTCATAATCCAGCATATTTTCCATTCTAAAACATAGTATTAGTAGACAAAATATATTACAACTTTAATATTAACCTGTCTAAAAACTCTCCTGCAATTATATCTAAGGGTTCAATATACTTTTTGGCAGTGGCTGGAGGCAACAAAATTTGCTGAACTTGTTTCCTAAAATTGTCCCATTTTGGACCGTGTCTAAAATAAAACAAAATTACAAATATCTTTTGTTTATGGTTTACTAATTTTACTAATTAATTGCGAATAAATTAAGTAGACCGTGTTTACTTTGTTGACTATGTTTTAACAACTTTGTCTTACGAAATGAAGATGTACCTACTGTTTGTTAATTGGAGTAATTTATAGTCTTTAACTGAAGAAATAATTTTATTCGTTAAAATTTGTGTCTTACACACGGTGGTCAAAACTAAAGTATAGGACGAACAAAAATGCCAACCAAACCTATAGCATAATATGATTATGGACTCTTTTGGTAACACAAAAATGTATTTATCAAAATCCCAGCTGATCCTTTATTAAAGTTTTGCATATTTTTTAGTATTTTAAAATTGCTTATGCCATTTCGATAAAATACTCTAGTACCATTATCAAATGTTTTTAAAAATTTGGCAAATACATGACTGAAATATGAATAAATTACATTATAAATACAAAATAATGTAAAATACCGTTTGCAATATCTTATTTATTGTTTTAACTAATAAATAACTAAAGATTCTTTGAAGCAAAATCGATTACTGCTTGCCTTAAATTTTCAGTAAAATTTTTTCTTGGGTTTTACATGGAATTGTTTTTAACATGGAAACAGTATTTTTAAATTCTTCAGTCTCTGTACAAACATGCTTCTTACATCTAGCGATATCCCCTAGAAAGGAAGAGCATATCAAAACTTTAGTTCGTTCGTCCGTCCTCTTTCCTTAATAATTTTTTATGCCCTTTATATCTTGCCATTTTGCAGATAAAGCACATACATTCTTGGCTGCCGCGAAATTCTCTAGCAATTTCTAAATTTTGAAAATTTGGCAATTGTGGCTATGAAAAAATACCGTTTTTGCTATATTGAAGTAGGTAATTTTGAATCACTTAAGTTAAAGTGTTCGTTTGAAAAAGTCTGCAGTAATTTTTATATTTTCTCAGAAACCCTAAACTCTGAATTTTTCGATTACCAAAAACAATTTTGTCTCCACAGCCAGCACATACCTTCTTTCGATTTTCTTCATGGCTTAACTTGAATTTCGGTTTAATTTTCATTTTAAAATACTATTTTTAACTTTATAAAGTATGAATTAAATAAACAACTAAAGCAAAATGTCACTTGCGTTATAACGTATAGCAATTTTTTTCATAACCACCTTAATTATTGTTTTACAAAATTTGCAAGTTGTAATTATTTCATAGACAAACTTCCAGTATTTTTTGTTATAAAAAATATTTAAGATATAAATCTTCGTTTTTTTTGTTATGTTTTGTTTTGAGTGGTAAAAAATAATTAATACTGGGGAGTAAAGTAATTTAAATGATACAAAGTTTATTATTTTGCTTAATTTTATTAAAATTGTACAGGTAGTTTTAGTACAATAATTGCAAAATAATATATAGAAATAGAAAAACAAAAAAGTTTGCAAAACTTTAAAATAGGATCAGTTGGGATTTTGATAAATACATGTTAGTGTTATCAAAAGGGTTTTTACCACCGTGTACAATTTTATATCGTAAATTTAAACTATATTTCAATCAATTAACTAATTGAGGATGTTATTTAGAATAATTTCTTAGTCTTATCTACTGTTGAAGTTTCTTATTTCGTAAATAAAACATATTTAATGTCGCTTCAAAACCATAAAATACAGTCAAGTACACTAAACCAATTATTTGAAAAACTACTTAAGTATTTCCTGTGTTGCATAAACTAAACAATAACTTTGATCATGATACATATTTATTTTCTTGTCAACTATAGGTACCGTACTTGTAGGAAATTCAATTAAATTATTCCCGTAGATTATTTTAATGACATTTGTTAAGAGTCGGCAATCCGTAAAATACTACACAATTAACCTAGATAAATATAAAAAAATATTTGCGGAATCTATTCACAAAGGCACTTACACTCCAATTACACCCTCGTTTCCTTTAAAAAAATCCTTCTGCAAGTGCTGTTTGTAATAATGCAAGGAGGGCATGGGGGGTCTATGAGGCATAGCTTCTTCTCTTCTGAACACTTTTTGAATATCGTCACCGTTAAAAACAAACAGAAGATCTGGATGACCAATCAGACCGCCCACCTTTACAATCCTTCCATATTCTTTTCTCAACGACCACATCACTTTATCCAGCTCGTGTATTTTGTAATGCCCTGCAATAATGTACATGTAATACAAGTATCTGTCTCTTAAGTGCTCTCCAAATATGGGCCATTTAGCGAAATTTTTTGGGGAAATAAGGTTCATTTTATAATAATTTTTTTCCATACATTAATTTACCAAATGGGTTTTTTTCAAAAAACACCCGCGTTCCGCTGTCCGTAAGTTTGAATTCCATGCAATAACTTTGTTAAAAATTATCGGATCTTATTGATTTAACAACCAAGTAAAAGCCTAACAAGCCCTTAGTAAAATCTTTCAGAGAATGTTTGTTTAGTTATTTCAGAATATATTTTTTTTTATTTTGAAACTTGTGAAACACATTTTCGCATGTCCCATTAGCGTTTTATTATAAAACTTACATACATGTTTTTTTTTAATATGGAATAACCAGAACTTTGTGTTGCTTTATAACAATCCATAACATCCTTATTTAATACAGTAAACAATTTATATATAAAATAATTAATTTTAATCTACTTTTTTTAAATTTGACTTATGTCCCAGACATTTTTTCCGTTGCGTTACGTCCGTCGCGTTACCGATAGAATATTAAAAAAAACATATACATGGCAACTTTTTTGGCACTAACGTGATTAAAAAATGATGTTCGGACGTACACATTACCCAGCTGAATTTATTTATTCAATCAGGAAGAAGATATCGGTTGAAACAGGTGCGGGTAACGCGAATGTAATAATTGTTTGTCCGCTAAGTTACTCAAAAAAATAATAAAAATAACGTCACCTGAGAATTATAGTGTTCTATCTGTATTTTCTTTTTTTTATTCAGGTTAGTCTTGTTTTAAGTATTAAAGATGCATATTGTTCTATCTATGTATATACAGGGTGTTTCATAATATATGCGCAGGACTTCAGGATGTGATAGCTCATCCAAAAAGATGAAAAAAGTCGCTATTAACTTACCCTCTAAAATGCACAATTTTCGAGATACAGGGTGTTGAAATTTTAGAAAAAAAATCGTTTTTTTCGATTATCTCCGGAACCGTTTATCGTACAAAAAACAGCTTTTGTAAGCATTTTCTACTCAAAATAAGCTATGTTCGTTTAAACATAAAAGTTGATTTTTCTCGAAAACGGTCAACTTTAGAGCTTATGACCAAGAGTACCTTTTTTGTGTAGAAAACATTGGCGGTTCGAATAGGCCTCTCAAAACCGTACATTTTTCAGGGGCGTAGAAGTTGAGGAGAAAAACACCCGCTACCCCTTCAAAATCTCCACCAATTATGAGTACAAAACATAGCTTATTTTGAGTAGAAAATGCTTACAAAAGCTGTTTTTTGTACGATAAACGGTTCCGGAGATATTCGAAAAAAACGATTTTTTTTCTAAAATTTCAACACCCTGTATCTCGAAAATTGTGCATTTTAGAGGGTAAGTTAATAGCGACTTTTTTCATCTTTTTGGATGAGCTATCACATCCTGAAGTCCTGCGCATATATTATGAAACACCCTGTATAATTGGGGTAGAAATTGTACAGTTTAAGCCTTAAACTTTACAATTTCTACCCCAATTATATATAGATAGATCAATATCATCTTTAAGACTTAAAACAAGACTAACCTGAATAAAAAAAAGAAAATGTAGATAGAACACTATAATTCTCAGGTGACGATAAGGTAAGAAAAAATACTATTTTTCATGTTTATGTTTATTTTAGAGCACTAAAGCTCTTTAAGAGTAATTAATGACTGTAATGTTTTATTATTATTTTTTAAATACGGTTTCACAAAACTTGGTCCACTGCGTTACCGAGTCCATTACGTTACCTTATGGTAACGCAATGGAATTTAGGGTAACGCAATATAATTTTTCGACAACAAAGTGGATATTTACCGTCGCTTTTATTAAAAGTAGTTTATGATTAACCAATTTAAAATTATTTGTAATTACAACTCATGATATACAGGAAAAATTCCACGCAATATAAAAGTACTAAAAGGGACCTTCACTAGCTTATAGTCAAAGAAAAAGGGTGTCTACAATTTAGAAATCTAAGTTGTTATTCGGCAAGTAAGCACCACTACAAGGGATTTTGTTTATGCATTACTCTAAAATCGTACCACCCTATATAGTTTCTTTTTTACGTTATCTGATTAAGTCCTTTGTGTACCCCTGTCCGTTGTGATACCAATGTCTATTTCGTTACTTTTTTTAGTTTTTGTTAAAAAAAATACTTAAAATGATTTTTATACACTATCACTTGGTAATACGTGTTTATAAATTAGAGTTTAATTCACTAATACAGTGACTAAAAGAAAATATTACCTAATGGGATTGTTTTTTTTTAACAAAGAATCGGAATGGTTTATTTTAAAAAGTAACTTAACGAACATACATATTTCAAAAAAAAAGCATACAATTTTTAATAAACAATAAAATAAAAAATTGGAGTCAAAAGTTTGTGAACTAAGTACATTTTATTTCAAATTATTTTTTTATTGAATTAAATTTTGGATTTCAAATTGGTAACACAGTGGAGATATATAAAGCTAGCTAAACACATTTTTCTAAAAAAAAACGTAAAAAAATTAAAAAGTGCACTGCCTGTCTTAAATGTAAGTAAACAAAACTCTAAACATTTATAAAAATCCAACCAAAAGTCAATTTAAGCAAAAAAAATATTTTGATCTTCATTTTCCTGAAAGCGGGTGTTTCTTGAAAATGACCCAGGTATAACATAAAATGAATTGGCTCTTAAAATTATAATTGAGCAATAAATTAAACATCTCTTGCACACGTGCATATGTGTAAACAAAAAATCCTAAAACCTGCCATAATAGGCCTAAGCACATACATTTTGTAATGTCCATTCGAAATGGCTGATGAAAGGAAAAGTGGGCATACCACGTTTAATAATGTAGGTTGAGAAATTTCGCATTTAAGAAAATATTTTTAAGGCGATTCTTGTCTAGGCAGTTGGTAGACTTGGCTGTAACGGAATGTGCAAATTGCTTAAATTATGTGCATTTAATTCGGATACCTATGTGCAGTAAGTGTTTGAAAGTAAAGTTTGTTGAGAAATTATGTAAAACGGCCTTAATATTAAGGCGGAAATTTATGGCAATTTGTCAATAAATTTAATATGAAATTAATTGAAAGTCCTGAACAGCGCGAACGTCAAAACTCCTCCAATAAATTTTTTTTTTTAATTTCAAATAGTGTCAAGAATTTGCCTCTACTACCGAATGAGGATTTTCTCTGCTCCAGTGGCATAAGGAGCATGATTTTCTATAAAAGTGCTACGTTATCCAAGTTAGTTGCAATCCATGGATTGGTTTTTCTAATTAGTTTGTTTAAGTCAATTTTCTATAATTTCTGGAAACAGTAAGATTTTGTATTTACCTAACCATTTGCACAATATTGTCCAGAAAAGAGTTGTTAAAAATATTTCAAAAATACTCTTTTGTACATTTTTTTAAATAATTCGTATAAATATAGTATAACTGAGTTAAAATATAAATTTTACAATATTGGACAATTTCTTCGGGAGTGAAGCATCACAACACTTAAGATAACCAATATTACTTAATTTAAGTAAATATTTTGTTAAATTAACCTTAAAAATTTACTTTGAAGTAAAACTTTTTTTAAAGTTATCTAACCCTTAAGTTTCAACAGATAAACATAACCCATTGTTACAAATGTAACAAATGTATACCTATAAATTATACTAACTTACCAATAAGAGGAGCAAATCTCCATGAATTACCCAATATGGGTAATTCCTTTGGTCCTGGAATTTCGGAATATGGTTTAATGGAATCCACCCGCTCCACAGTTCTTTCAAAAACCGTATCATCTTCGAACATTTCTGCTAAACCTACAGATGTAGAATAAGGCCTTTCTGTAGAATAATTCCTCTCCGTAGAATGAGGTACATCATTGGATGTAGAATATGCCCTTCGTGCTACATTTATAAGGGATGGAGAAAGTTTTCTGGAAAGTCTTCCAGTCATTCTAAAAATTAATGATAATAATTATCGTTATGTTACGTAAACATTCATTCTGTAACATTAAGACTCGAGGTCAGACAAAATTATTTCCTTAAACCCAGTTGTGGATTTCGGGTCAAACATATCAATAAAAAAAACAAAATTGCAAAATTCAACATATTAAACTTGCTATTCTTTTAAATCACGCATAGGTAACTCCTAGTTAAATTAACAAGAATAAATATTGAGTAAGCGAAATGCGAACAAAAGTTACTGATGCCAAACCGATATAGATAAATATTTCTATAGATATTAATATTGTTTTTAATTTAATTAGCAAGTTGCAAAAGTAATATAAATACACACACACACACCCAAAAGTCCCACCTTGACATTTGAATACAAATAATTGAGGTTATCTATCTGTCAGTTTAACGCTTTTTTGGTCTTATTTTCTGCATACTATAGTATAATAATAATTAAGTATATATACTTTTTCTACGACAAATAGGTACTTATTTTTATCTAAAAATGATTTAAATTAAATATTTGTATAAAGCTACATCTATAAAACAATAGAGTAGTCAACTTGGGAATCTGTGTTGTTGTGAAAATGTCAAATTGTTATGTGTTAATCAAAATGTATGCCTTTAAAATCTACTAACAACAGTTTTTCAGTTAAGAAAATGTTTTATGGGCTTAATTTTTTTTTATTAAATGAGTGACTAGAAAAGTACTATATATATACTTCCCTAATAGCAAAATTTGATTTTAAGAATCTTCCAAGAAGATATGACCTGGAATAATGGAATATTCTTAGAAGCTTATTGCTAAGAATTTTCTTAGGGACTTTTAAAACATTCAATAGATACCCTTTTAATGATGCAATTAGATTCTTAAAAGCTTCTTAAAACCTTCTTAAAGAGCATCCCAAGAACATTTTAAGAATGCGTTTTTGGAATGTTCTTAGAAGGTTTCTTATGGAGCTTCTACACAGTAAAAACTAATATTCTTAATTTAAGAAAATTGCTATAATTGGAAATATATTTTTGAGTGAAATAATCAATTATTTAGTTTAAAAATATATCTTTCAATTAAGCTTTGCAATTTTCTTTTTCCAAGAAATAAAAAATCTTCGTTATCAAATAAAAGCTTCTTTAGCTAAATATTGAAATATTTAATTTAAGTAATATTTTTCTTCGATTTTAAGAATATAAAGGTATTTAATCTAATACAATTTTATTTTTGATTTAAGTATATGATTTATTTCATACTAAAATACCTACCAAGAGTTTTAAGTCAAAGTAATATTTTTGTTTTGAACTAAAATTATAATTCTTCAAACAAATAATATGTATAATTGATTTAAAAATATAATTTTATTTTAAATATATGGTATGTTTAAAATATTTTATCGCGAGATTTTAGTAGCACGTGACTTATGGAACCAATGGGTTACCAGAAACTGTTTCGCTTCGGTATCGGTGCCGGTGCCGGTATTCTTTTTAGCCGCCATTTCGTTTATGTGTTTCCTCTGGTGCAGTTTATAAAAGTTTGTGCAAAAATATGGAAGAACTATTAGAACAATGTAATTTGGAAGATCTAATCCCCGTTTTTAAAGGTAGGTAATATATTATTAATAATAATAGTAGTATGTGTATTGTTATTGTTTTGTTTTTAAAATTATTATTATTAATATCGTAATATGTTATATTTAAAATACGGTATCTTATATTTTATAAGATACCGTATTGTTTATTTTTGTTTAATTTTAAATACGAAGGTTTATCTTTTGTTTCATTTTATATGCGAATGTTTATTTTTTGTTATTTTAGGATTATAATCCTAGTCCTATAGTTTCATGATGCTCTTGTAAATTTATATTATTTGTACCAAAATAATTATAATTAAATAAATATGGATTTTTAATTATTTAATGTATTATTTCTTTATTTTAAAAAATAAAACATACCTACATAGTGGAGTTCTTGAACAATTTAAATCATGGTAATATATTCAAGCTAAAGGAATTTAAAGCTATCTACTGTAGACTTAATCTACTAGACTGTAGGCAAAAATGTAATGTTTTTAAAATAATTCTGCAAAGAAGGATTAACTTATTAAATTGCTTATTTTAACTAATATAATATTACTATAATTATATATGTAAGTGTATAAGGTACATTCTTACTTAAATTAACTTGTTACATTATTTTAAACTACATTATGTATGTACATTTTGTATGTAAATGAACATTTTAATTTAAATAAAGCCTATATAAAAGGATTTATTAAAAAATATTACATTTTTGCTTTAAATCTAAATTTGACCTTAAAGTAAGTATAAAAATTATTTAAATTAAACACATCGTTGCCTTAATATGAAAGCATGAATTTTTTCCAACAAAAATATTATACATTTAAATCAACCATATGTTAAATTTTAACCAAAAAACATTATTTTTGCGTCAAATTTAATTTATTTTTAAATTAAATATATCGTAGTTTTCTATAAAAAATATCCAATACTTACGACAAAGGCATTATATATTTACATAAAGAAGCCCAACTTTTCCATTTAAGAATATATTAGTTTTAAACTAAGTCATAACATGCATTTAATTTAAAGCGCGCATTTACTTTTTCTAAGATCATGATATATTTAAATTACAAATATAAACTTATCTTGAGTCTAATAGATGATTTATTTGTGGCTATTTAAAACAATGAATGCTTTGGTTTAAACCTACAGTATTTGACTGAAAGCATCTTTTTTTACTGTGTAGGAAGCTATTGAGAATATTCCCAAATATGTCAGATACCCAAGTTCTAATATGTTGTATTCTACTCATAATATGACAGTGAAATGTATTTGTCGTCCCCTTAAAAAATTTTGCGACCTATTAATATATTTATTTAAAACTATTAAATAAACAATTTGACTTCTAAACCATAAGTTGTACGACATTATTTCATAAAAAGTAAAATTGGTAAATTTTGTGGGATAAGTCAGATTATATTGAAGTTGAAGATAGTTAGGATTATTATACATAAAAATGTTAATTTAGAAATAAAAAATCGGTATACAAATTAATAAATATTCATTTTTAACATAAAATGAAATACCTATAGTAAAAGTATTTTTGTAATCGAATATTGTTTTAATTTGACAAATAACCATAAAAAAATATTTTGGATTGTGTTTTTTACTTAGTATTTAATACTAATTACTAATTAGGTACTTAAGTATATGTATATACCTTTATACGTACCTAGTTTATGGTATATTTTACTATTATATAGGTAACTGAACTAAATATGCTTAACAGGAATATTCCTAAATGAATTTTCTATAACAATTACTTTCTTAACATTCTAATTAGATGCTTAAGCATATGTTTAGAGTAGACTAATTTTTACCACTAAAACTTTGCACCTTCTAAGAACCTGCCTATAGGCCAGTTAGAATATTCTTAGGATCATGCTATATTTCTTTTAAGCATGTTCTTTAGAAGAAATATAGCATGATCCTAAGAATATTCTCACTGGAAGGTTTAAAAAACATTCTTAGAATTAAGTGTGCTATCAGGGTTAATTTTATCTAAAAAATGATTAATTATTTGCTTAAAGCAAAAATAAAGTAACCATCCTAATAAACATGTTTGTATTATTTTAATTAAACTTAACAATTATTGATACTTTAAAGTATTAAAATAATTAATTAAATTAAAATATTTTATTCTTTTATTTTTTCTATTACTATAATTGCAAAATATTCACAAATCACAAAGTATTAAAAAGTGACAGTTGTATTTATTGGAATTTTTATTTTGACCAATTTTTTTCAAAATTGTTTTTTAACTGTAATATTAAAGTATATATTTAATTTTTTTTAAATAATATTGGATTGTAAATTAGTAATATATTAAATTAATTAATTTAATAGTTCAATAATCGAATAATTTAATAAAAATAATTATTTAATTATAAATTTTAAAAAAATGTTTAAATCAATAATTTCAAAAGTAGTAGTAGTATAATTATTTAATTATAAGTTAAAAAAAAATATTTAAATCAATAATTTCAAAAGTACCTACTTACTTAATTCACAATATTAAAAAATCCAAGTCACAATATAAAAACACCAAAAATTCAATACATCCCGTGTACCTATTTAAACTGAGCAGAAACTGATCTGATAAATAGTTGTTGATTTAATTTTATAAACTCGGTAACATTTCTTAGTGGGGCAGGATTTTAAATTTTGCAATATTTGTAGCCGCGGTGGGCAATACTCGATATACGCCTGAAAATTATGCAATTTTTACTCCGCTGCATAAATTCCGTTTGTCTGTCTGCAACATCAAGCTACCTGGTTCAACGCCGCCTGGTTTGTTAAACTCTGAATTTAACGTTTAATTCAATAATGTTGAATTTGTTTTATTTTGGGCAAATTTTGGTATGTCTTTATATTATCTTGTTTTACTCTGCGACGCGTTGACTTTTTAAAATGGCCAATAGCCCTACTAAACCATTCCAAATTCTGTCAAAAAAGTTGAGAAACATTGTTTAAATTAATCTTAATTACAAAAATGACAAAATTAACAATGTAAATTGTCAATTTGGCGTTTTTATTAATTGTTGGTTATGTCATTTTTGTACTGAAGGTAAATTCAAACTAAATCTGCCAACTTTTATGACAGAATCTAGTGCATTTCTTTCAAATTTTAGGTTGTGCTCAAATTGTAAATATTTTTATTAAGGGAAGTGCTTTTGGATTTATTTACACAAATTAAATGTTTAAAGTTTAACCTGTGAACTGGTCCCACACCGATAAAATAGTTTGGTCATTACAAACATGGGTCTTAGTTTCTATATTATGTATTTGCCACAACTTACGCATATTGGTTAGAAATAAGAACATTTTTCTGTGACAATATTGGTCAATTAGTTGTTACTTTGCCATTAATTTAAATGAAATTAAGTTGTAAACAACTTATCATATTAAATATAAGATTATTAAAATATATCATTTTGACACAAAGAAATCAGTTTTTACCAAATATTTATTTGTTTAAAATATTTTTTGGTAGGGATGCTAGCAAACGCAAGGCAGCCATTGTGAACCAAAGAACTTTTTTGTTACGAACCAGTAAACAAGTGTATGAAATACATGCAGTACATAATTTTACGCAGATAAAAATGCAGTGTGTGTTGAGTGAACTATTAATGGTGAGTACTTATTTATTTAAATGTCACTTGTCCATATAATTTTAAGAAAAGTAGGAAGGCCCCCTGTATCTATATAAAAATTGGCAAAAAGGACAAAATATCTTGTGTAACCATCGAAAAATATTGCCACAATTTTTATTAACTATAAGTAATCGTGTAATTAATTATCCCATTTATAATAAAATGATATTTAAGTAGATTTCATTCAATTACAGAAGGACATAAAACTATTATTCTTTTTAATCAGGACTAATTTATTGACTTTTGTTACCTTTTTATATTTTATGTATAGGTTGGTACATGATTACTGAAGTATGAGATAACTTTTTGAATATTTTTTGTTTAAAATGAGTTAGCTAGTTAAGATTTTGTTTTGTATTCTTGTTTTATTTTTTTGGTTAAAAATATTTTTATATGTATACATAATATTATTATACTCTATATTATACTCTATATTTTGTTATAAATATTATAAAATAAAATTGTTTTATTGAATTTATTTAGATTTTCAATAACCAGCCTCTCCTGCATTTAAATAATTTTATTGCAAATAAAGGGCTTATTCCTGACAATGAAATTTTCGTTTTGGACAAATTAATTCTGTCGTGATAACAAGTTGCTTTTTTGTGACGAAATTATTGTTGTGTTAAAATAAAGCACATGCGTTTATCCCAAATAGGTGCATGTTTAGTACAAAGAAATGAAAAATTTATTAGAAATAAATATTTAGTTGCAAGAACATAATCTGCTATTTGTAAAGAAATGTATGCATTTACGTCAAATTAATATAAGTTTGTTCGAAACCAACTTTACCAAACTAAGTAATTACTTGCCTTAAGTCTATATTAGTTGCGCAATATACAACCACAGGATTAGTTTACCTAAAATCAATTTCGTTTCTCTCAAACAAATTGTTTTTTCGGTGCAATTTCATCTGAGTAAACAGAAAGAAAAAAACCGAGGAAAAATTAATTTTGTGGTTATGGATTTTTTAAAATAGGTACTAAATTAATTTTATAATCATTGCTTAAGCTAATAGCTGGACGAGAAAATAAATACAGAAGGGTATTAGAGCTTTAAGGGCATAAAACTTGTATTTATTGAGTTTTTATTTATTTTTTGCAAGAAAAATTTTTAGTAACAATTTTTTACATCTGGCAACGCGCAGCTACTTTGTTGGTTGGTATCTATGTACTCACAGAACACAAGTGTGCAGAGATAAACCAAGTGTGTAACCAGTGGCGTATCACAAAAAATATAAAAAACTTCTAATGCCTATTTTTTCTTTATCTTTGGAAAAATATTTTTTTAAATATTTTTCCTTTACTTCTTATGTCAAAAGGTATTCAGTATTTTAATATATAACATTAATTATAAGGGTGATTTTACAAAAGTTGGGCAACTTTTGACCTCATTTTGTTTATATAGTTTTCGGAGAAAATTAAACAGTATTTTCTTATGAGAACATAGGTAATATAATAAATATACTGTTCCAGACCGGGCCAGTCACTTTTTCAAACAGTTTCTGAAATATCTGTGTTTTCTAAATTTGAATGCAAGGGAAGTGACGAGTATACCAGGGTATAATTAAATACATAATTTATTGGAAAATATAAGATATATTGCAACTTTGAGCATATTATACATTAAATATCTTAAAATAAAATAATACCACACATCAGTGGCGGCTGGTGGATTTTGGGTATACCGATATCTCAATTATTAATTATGGGACCCGCACCAATTTATATAAGTTTATATATAATGACATTAAATAAACAAGTTCTGCGCAAGCAGAATTTAAATTGAAATTTGCGAAAAAAAATAACCGAAACATCGAACATGGAACTGACGACATGGTACTGATGAATGGGATACAAATTTGAGATTATAATTCGGAATTAAGTATTTTATTATGCTGCTTATCAACAAATTACATATAGCCTTATATAAATTACAATGAAATATATATACGTAAGAAATTAACTACTCACCTCAGTACTAAAATTTTGACTGGAACTATACGTGCATTCACCACAACTTCGCCGCTTGCATTGTTTTCAAGATGACTGTCGTGCAAAGGGCGGGCTCTGTAGGTAATTTTTTTACCAACACTTGAGTTAAAACGAGGACTTGACGTTTAAACTTCAATATTTCGCAGGAATTTTGAATTTTAACATTGAACACAGAACTGACGGGTAAAAGTGAGTACAAAGATTATCATTTTTTTTAAAAATTGCTATTATTCGAATCTATGATAAAATATGAAAAATACATTGTTTAATGTTTTATAGTTTGTAGTGAAATTGAAAAATTTAAGATAAATTGAATATATTTTAAAATAAAATCACTCAAATATTTGATTCAGGAGTTGTGACACGCCAAGGTACTGATGTTTTGAATATTTATTATGTTTTTCTACAAACGTGCTTTTAAAAAAATACATAAAAATTGGGTGGACAAGTTTAAAAAACCTGGATCTTTTGTAATATACTAAAATATTTCCAAAAAATATTAAAATACCTACTCTATTGACTTATGACATCAAGTTGTTCAACTTTTGTAGAATCACCCATAACAAAAATAATAAACTAAAAAAAAAACAAAACAAAGAAAATATCAAAGCAAATGGACAAACAACCGTTTAAATATTATCCGATATAGAAGCAGTTTTTCAGTGCCTTCATTATTTTTTTGTTCCCATTTGAAATTTAACTGAAAAAAACAGTAAAAAAAACTTAATAATGCTTCCATCTTTTAAGAATCATTGTCAAATTAATTAATAAATGTCTATTATAATTATTAACATTTCTATTTTGAAATGTATGGTACTGTTAGTTTACACTTGTTGCGTAGCTTGTTTTATCTCAAATTGTGTAAGATTCGAAATATGAAAAATAAATAGTTACTTCGCCTATATTGTTTTACAAGCATATAGTAATTTTAAAGTTATTAAAGAAACATCATGTGTTATAACTTATAATGGACCTAAATGCTGCAATCGCGCTTAAAAATTTATAATTGGTGCTAATTAATATAAATAATTCTTAAAAGTGTACTGGTGAAACTTGATAATTAAATTAGATGTCTTGGTCTATTTACACTTATAATGCTTTTTTGAATTTAAGAAGCAACTTTACAAATTAGTAAAAATCTATCAATTTTATATTAAAAAAATACTTATTTAAGTCACTAGGCCAAGAAGGGAGTCTTTTTGTGCCAAGCTTAAATTTTCAGTTATACTCAACCATACGAGGTGTGTTCAGAAAATAACGGGAATTGTTAAGTTTCGCGGATTCGGAGAGTCCGGTTGTCATAAAATTTTCTTCTTGTTGGTATACATGCCCCCGAAGTATGATAAAAACTTTAGCTGTTTTCATTGTTTACTTTGTCTGTGGCAGCCGCTAAGGTTAGACGTGTTTTATGAGCTCGGCGATTTTTCGTTCGTTAAAAGAAATGGATCAAAGAAATTTGTATCCAATTTAGCTTAAAAAATGAAACAAATTCTGTGAAATGTTAAAAAAGGCCTATAGTGAGTCTGCTATAAGTAAAACAAGAGTTTACAAGTGGTATAAGAGTTTCCAAGATGGCCGTAAAGACGTTGAAGATGACGAACGCCCCGAATGCACAAGCACATTAACAACCGATAAAAACATGGAAAAAGTGGAAGAAATGGTTATAAACCATCAGAGAAGTGATGATGTTGGTATATCGATTGGCTCATCACATGAAATTTTTTCGAATTTTTTTTTGTATGAAACGCGTGGCAGCAAAATTTGTTCTAAAATTGTTAAATTTTGAACAAAATTTTTGGCCAAAAACAATACTGTAATGATGCCCCAGCCTCCATATTCGCCAGACATGCCTCTGTCTAACTTTTTCCTATTTCCAAAAATAAGGAGAACCTTAAAGGGCCGT